TTCCCTCCAAACGGAAAGTAAAGATATAGGTTAGTTATTTATAAATAGTAACTTTAATTTTTATTATACAAATTTTCTAAGTAGCATACTATTTTTCATTAATTAAAAAAATATGTATTAGCCTTACTCCTTTTCCTGTATTTTGCTCACTGTTATGTTTGCATATATTTTTGCAAGCATTCGTTTTTCTCGTTCTCTCGCGGACTTGTCTCTCATCATTACTAGATAACCTTTTGGTCTTTTACAGTCGAAGATCCGTTCCTTACTGCGCTTAGCCAGCCTTTTACCCTGCCAACTTCAGGCGTACCCTCTTCTCAGCCACATACGCCTCTCCTATCTGGGGAAACGGTAGGAATAGCTGAGGGAGACAAAGAGGCTCCCGACCACCATCATAACATTGACGATGGAGATGATGAAGATAATGCTCCAGACGAGTTGCCCTTCATGCTTCAGCCAGAAACACCTTACTTACCTCCTCCGAGCATTCTATCTGAAGCCCCACATAGTATCATGCACGTAAGTTACTATCAAATTATCAAGGCCTCAAAATTAATTTTGCTTACAGATTATTAGTAACTCTCATTACATTATTATGCTGTTACGGATTTTACTTTAATTAAATTCTTATTTATTGTGCACAGACTCTCATTACACACACTCAACCTCGCATCTTCAATGACAATCTCTATTGATTTCTAAAGCGGATCAACTTTTATCGTTACTTATTTTTTGTATTATCCCTTCTCGTGATTAAAGTCGACACAAACTTTTATGCATAACTAATTTTTCATTTTTAATCATTTTGTGATTGAATATTTTTTAATTTTGGGCTGGTGCGTGGATTGTGACATTTTATATCCAAAATATTTTGATGTGCTATTGTTATAAAAGAATATTACCCATTGTCTCCCTTTGTTCGAATACATTTGCGTTTCCAGCATTATGATCACTTTTGACGATGCTCAGATGCCCATTTTTGCCTACTCTTCTTTATCTTATAAATATCTCTTACCTCGCTCACAAAAAAATAGCTCAGTTATAAATGCACATAGTTATTGCGCTCCCACTGTCAGAGAAAGCTAGGCATATAGCTAAAACCGGGCCTAAAGTCGATTTTTTAAACCTCGCTTTTATTATTATGATTTATATGCTAAAGGGGAGAAAAAAAACAGGAAAATTAAAAAGTATGTTAATTTTAATGGTATACTCAATTTTCGTTTGCTAATCTTCATTAAAAAATCACAGCCCAGATAAGCATGTTTTGTATAATTTTATCGTAACGGCTTTCCTTTTAATCCATTAATTATATTAAATATTGATGACAAGGTATTTCACACGTTCTCGTAATTATTACTTTTGGTTTCCTATTCTTACACGAACATTGCTGTACATGCTCATAGATGGAAATGAACTTAAGCTAACTATGTATGAAGAAAAGCTGGATTTCGAAGCATTCCTGGATTTATTGATGCTGGTATACCTTTCATTTGGTTTGAAGAGGTGAATGAACGGGAATTGTACTCTGGCTCATTGGAAGCCTGTTTGCCTTGGAGCTATAATTGTAGACTTGTGTTTATAAGTCTTTGGCCAACCGATTTACGACCCTTATGAATCCTTACCTAGCTTTCATCTATCATGTAACAGGAATAGTCAGAGCAAGATACCATTCTCTATGGTAATTCGCGAACACGCGAAAATGCGAAAAGTGGCCAGCCGCAATCCAACTTTGGTCTCATGTATACATAATGTAGCCTAAAACTCAACTCATTTTAATTTGAAGATGAAATAAGTTGATTGAACGTTTTATTGATGATTGCTTCGGCCTTAACGTCTCAATAAAATCAAATAATGGTTTTGTTATTAATTGTGCTCTGCTTTTTACTGAAAGCCTCATCGATATGAACTAATTAATAATTTGAGGGTATTTTAGAATAAATAGGCGTTCGATCTTGCTTACGTGTGTAATTGGGCATAACTTCCCATGATTTGTTATTTCGAAGCCGGATGAACCATAGAACAGTTGCGGACATTTACTAGCCAGAGTAATTTCTTATTTCGTAATACCGACGCCTTAATTTTTATGCATGGTCTATCCATTAATCGAAATATATGCGAATATTCTTTTTTAACTTATATTTTTCAGTCATTCTTCAGGCTCTTCTACAGCTCTTATTATTTGAATTATATTGTTGATTTTAAGTGACAACTTTCGCGGTAA